GGACGCCTGCCTGATTATTCACCCACATTTCAGAGATGTCCGATCATCGCAGGGATGCCTGCCTTGATCCTTCACCTTAGTGGCAAGTACCACTCCCCACTCTCCGTATCTCTACCCTCTCTTTTCTCTAGACTTACCTTTTTACTATGGGCAATCTTCCACCCTCCATTCCTCCTTCTTCTCCCTTAGCCTGTGTTCTAAAAAACTTAAAACCTCTTTAACTCTTGCCTGACCTAAAACCTAAGCGTCTTTTCTTCTGCAACACCGCTTGGCCCCAGTACAAATCAACAATGGTTCTAAATGGCCAGAAAATGGCACTTTTGAATTCTCTATCCTACAAGATCTAGATAATTTTGTCGAAAAATGGGCAAATGGTTTGAGGTGCCTAACATCCAGGCATTCTTTTACACATTGGTCCCTCCCCTAGTCTCTGCTCCCGATGCAACTCGTCCCAAATCTTTCTTCTTTCTCTCCTGTCTGTTCCTTCAGTCTCCACCCTAAGCTCTGAGTGATCTGAATCCTCCTTTTCTATGGGCCCATCTGACCTGTCCCCTCCTCCCCAGGCTGTTCCTTGCCAGGCTGAGCCAGGTCCCAGTTCTTCCTCAGCTCCCAACCCTATAATCCTTCTATCACCTCCCCTCCTCACACCTGGTCTGGCTTACAGTTTCATTCTGGAACTAGCCCTCCCCAACCTGCCCAACAATTTCCTCTTACAGAGGTGGCTGGAGCTGTAGGGGTAGTCAAGGTTAATGCTCCTTTTTCTTTAGCCGACCTTTCCCAAATCAGTTAGTGTTTAGGCTCTTTTTCATCAAATATAAAAACCCAGCCCAGTTTATGGCTCATTTGGCAACAACCCTTAGATGCTTTACTGCCCTAGACCCAGAGGGGCCAGAAGGCCGTCTTATTCTCAATGTGCATTTTATTACCCAATCCACTCCCGACATTAGAAAAAGCTCCAAAAATTAAATTCCGGCCCTCAAACTCCACAACAGGACTTAATTAACTTCGCCTTCAAGGTGTACAATAATAGAGAACAGGCAGCCAAGCAGCAATGTATTTCTGAGTTGCAATTACTTGCCTCCACTGTGAGAGAAACTCCAGCCACGTCTCTAGCACACAAGAACTTCAAAATGCCTAAACTGCAGCGGCCAGGTGTTCCTCTAAGACCTCCTCCCCCAGGATCTTGCTTCAAGTGCCGGAAATCTGGCCACTGGGCCAAGGAATGCCTGCAGCCCAGGATTCCTCCTAAGCCGTGTCCCATCTGTGTGGGACTCCACTGGAAATCAGACTGTCCAGCTCACGCGGCAGCCACTCCCAGAGCCCCTGGAATGCTGGCCCAAAGCTCTCTGACTGACTCCTTCACAGATTTTCTCAGCTTAGTGGCTGAAGACTGATGCTGCCTGATGGCCTCAGAAGGCTCCTGGACCATCACAGATGCTTTCAGTAACTTTTACAGTGGAGGGTAAGTCTGTCCCCTTCTTAATCAATATGGAGGCTACCAACTCCACATTACCTTCTTTTCAAGGGCCTGTTTCCCTTGCCTCCATAACTGTTGTGGGTATTGATAGTCAGGCTGCTAGACCCCTTAAAACTCCCCAACTCTGCTGCCAACTTGGACAATATTCTTTTATGCACTCCTTTTTAGTTATCTCCACCTGCCCAGTTCCCTTATTAGATCAAGATGTTTTAACAAAATTATCTGCTACTCTGACTATTCCTGGACTATAGCCACATCTAATTGCCACCCTTCTCCCCAACCCAAAGCCTCCTTCATGTCTTCCTCTTGTATCCCCCCACCTTAACTCACAAGTATTGGACACCTCTACTCCCTCCCTGGTAACCAATCACATGCCCATTACCATCCCATTAAAACCTAATCACCCTTACCCCACTCAATGCTAATACCCCATCCCACAGCAGGCTTTAAAAGGGTTAAAGCCTGTTATCACCCACTTGTTACAACATGGCCTCTTAAAGCCTACAAATTCTCCTTACAACCCTCCTATCCTACCTGTCCAAAAACCAGACAAGTCTTACAGGCTGGTCCAGGATTTTCACCTTATCAACCCAATTGTCTTGCCTATCCACACCATGGTGCCAAACCCATATACTCTCCTATCCTCAATACCTCCCTCCACAACCCATTATTCTGTTCTGGATCTCAAACATGCTTCCTTTACTATTCCTTTGCATCCTTTATCCCAGCCTCTCTTTGTTTTCACTTGGACTGACTCTGACACCCAACAGGCTTAGCAAATTACCTGGGCTGTACTTCCACAAGGCTCCAGGGACAGCCCCCATTACTTCAGTCAAGCCCTTTCTCATGATTTACTTTCTTTCCATCCGTCTACTTCTCACCTTATTCAATATTTTGATGATCTTCTACTTTATAGCCCCTCATACAAATCTTCCCAACAGGACACCCTCCTGCTCCTCCAACATCCATTCTCAAAGGGATATCACGTATCCCCCTCCAAAGCCCAAATTTCTTCCTCATCTGTTACCTATCTCGACATAATTCTTCATGAAAACACACGTGCTCTCCTTGCTGATCATGTCCGGCTAATCTCCCAAACCCCAACCCCTTCTACAAAGCAACAACTCCTTTCCTTCCTAGGCATGGTTAGGTACTTTCACCTCTCAATACCTGGTTTTGCCATCCCAACTAAATCATTATATAAAGTCACAAAAGGAAACCTACATAAATCCTAAATCCTTTCCCCACTTCCCTTTCTGTTCCTTAAAACAGTCTGAGAAGCTGCTCTCACACTAGCTCTCCCTAACTCATCCCAACCCTTTTTCATTACACACAGCCAAAGTGCAGAGCTATGTGGTCAGAACTCTTATACAAGAACCAGGACTGTGCCCTATAGTCTTTTTATCCAAACAACTTGACCTTACTGTTTTAGGCTGGCCCTCATGTCTGCGTGCAGCAGCTGCCACTGCTTTAATACTTTTAGAGGCCCTAAAAATCACAAACTTGCTCAACTCACTTTCTATAGTTCTCATAACTTTCAAAATCTATTTTCTTCCTCACACCTGACGCATATACTTTCTGCTATAGTATCTTCCACATCTATCATTGAGGCTAACACTCTGCCCCCCTCCACTACCTCTCAGCAAGCCGAACTCACTGCCTTAACTCAGGCCTTCCCTCTTGCAGAAGGATTGCATGTCAATATTTACACTGACTCTAAATATGCCTTCATATCCTGCACCACCATGCTGTTATATGGGCTGAAAGAGGTTTCCTCACTATGCAAGCGTCCTCCATCATTAATGCCTCTTTAATTAAAAACCCTTCTCAAGGCTGCTTTACTTCCAAAGGAAGCTGGAGTCCTTCACTGCAAAGGCCATCAAAAGGCCTCAGACCCCATTGCTCAGGGCAACACTTATGCTAAGGTAGCTAAAGAAGCAGCTAGCGTTCGTCTTCTGTCCCTCATGGCCAGTTTTTCTCCTTCTCATCAGTCACTCCTACTTTCTCTCCCACTGAAGTTTTCCACCTATCGATCCCTTCCCACTCAAGGCAAATGCTTCTTAGACCAAGGAAAATACCTCCTTCCAACCTCACAAGCTCATGCCATTCTATCATCCTTTCATAATCTCTTCCATGTAGGTCACAAGCCACTAGCCTGCCTCTTAGAACCTCTCATTTCCTTTAAGACATTTGCCCTGCATTTCACTCCATCCTTGGCTACTTTCCCCTTGTTCTTCAGACTCTCCTCCTAACCCCTCTTCTTGCTTGCTTATACTCAGTCCCATGAATAGCAGTGAAAGGTTACTTATAGACACTATGCGCTTTCTAATATACCATAAAAAATCGAACCACCCCCTCTACCCAGTTGCCCCATCAATCCCCATTACAACCTCTAACAGCTGCTGCTCTCACTAAATCCCTAAGAGTCTGGGTGCAAGATATCTCTTTTGGTGCTCCCTCTCATCTTTTCACTTTACATTTCCAGTTCTGCCTTACAAAGTTCTCTTCTTCCTCTGTGGCTCCTCCACCTACATGTGTCTACCTATCAGTTGGACAGGTACATGTATACTAGTTTTCCTTATTCCCCAAAATCAATTTGCAAATAGGACTGAACAGCTTCCTGTCCCCTCATGACACCAACACTTTACGACTATTTTGTTTTGTTCTGTTTATTATTAATATAAGAAGACAGGAATAAGCCTCAACTTACTGCTGAAAAAGGAAGACTCTGTACATTTTTAAATGAAGAATGTTGTTTTTACCTAAATCAATCTGGCCTGGCATATAACAACATAAAAAAACTCAAGGATAGAACCCCAAAACTCACCAACCGAGCAAATAATCACACTGAACCCCCTTAGGCACTCTTTAATTGGATGTCCTGGGTCCTCCCAATTCTTAGTCCCTTAATACCTGTTTTTCTCCTTCTCTTATTCCGACCTTGTGTCTTCCGTTTAGTTTCTCAATTCATACAAAACCGCATCCAGGCCATCACCAATCATTCTATATGACAAATGCTCCCTCTAACAACCCCACAATATCACCCCTTACCCCAAAATGTTTCTTCAGTTTAATCTCTCCCATCCTAGGTTCCCATGCCTCCCCTAATCCCACTCAAAGCAGCCCTGAGAGACCTCACCCATTATCTCTCCATACTACCCCCCAAAAGTTTCACTGCTCCAACACTTCACCACTATTTTGTTTTGTTTTTCTTGTTAATATAAGAAGACAGGAATGTCAGGCCTCTGAGCCCAAGCCTGGACATATACATACATCCAGATGGCCTGAGGCAACTGAAGAACCACAGAAGAAGTGAAAATGGTCAGTTCCTGCCTTAACTGATGACATTACCTTGTGAAATTCCTTCTCCTGGCTCAAAAGCTGCCCCAATGAGCACTTTGTGACCCCTGCCCCTGCCTGCAAGAGACTGTAATTTTGACTATAATTTTCCACTACCTACCCAATCCTATAAAACTGCCCCACCCCTATCTCCCTTTGCTGACTCCTTTTTTGAACTCAATCTGCCTGCACCCAGGTGATTAAAAAGCTTTATTGCTCACACAAAGCCTGTTTGGTGGTCTCTTCACACGGACACGCATAACAATGTGTATAACAAATACACCAGAAGACCTGGGTTCAAATAGGAAGCTCTGCCATTTACTAGCTGTTTAATCTCGGGCAAGTTAGCTACTCATAGTAATCTTTTATTGAGCCCTTACTATGTGCATCTATAGACTGCAGGCATCCTTTTGTGTGATACCACAAATTATCTTATTACATGCTGTTTTATTAGTTTTATTCTCTTATTTTACACCCCAACAATGCTATGAAGTAGATTCTTTGATTATCCCCAACTGAGGCACAGAATAATTAACTTCCCAGTGACACAAAGGTCAAGATGAGACTCGAATTGAGTACCCTGATCAAAGGCCCAGGGGTTTGATCATTAGGTTTTACTTGCTTCTCTGAGTTTTGATTTTTCTCATCTGGAAATGGAAATCACAGTAATTAATCTCTCAGGTTTGGTACAAGAATTGAAAGACAAGTTACATAAAAGAAATCATTATTGTCACTATGCTGTTTTCTCACACTCCCAAATCAAAAGCCAGGAGAGTGCTTTTATTTCAAACCATTCCTTTGTCCCCCAGATCCAGTCTCCGCCATATTCTACTACTCTCTCTTCCCAATATCTTTAAGACTTACTCATTCTTCTCCATTTTTGTTTCTCCAATTTTATTAGTGAGAGTACCCACTACTTTTTATATTATAATTTCAATAACTGCGTCATTCTTTTTCTTGCTCCAGCCTTTCCTTGCCCTGATGTAGCCTTCTGACACTATCTGATTAATATGCACAAAACTCCATATTTTTATTGCCATGGGTCATTCTTCATTGCTTATGGGATAAAGATATTCCTGTATCTTCACCCTGGTATTTACGACTTTGGGTCTCTTGGTCCAGTTTTACAGATTCAAACTCATTTCCCAGCAGAATCTAATGGAATTTAGGAAAAAGGGGGCATTTCCTTACCTGTTAAGTATCTGATATGCTAAGCACTGCTTGTATTTGGTGGGAAAAACAGACTTAGATATAGATCCTATGAAGGGAAGACCAGAGGCACAAACATCAAATAAATGCATACGTAGTCAATTACAGTTATAAAGGAGGGCTGGTGTAGGAGTGAAAACTAACCTAGTATAGAGGTTCCCTGAAGCAACATAAAACCCTTCGTTCTCCCCTTCGTTCTCACCTTCACAGAATTGTTCATTCTCTTCCTTTCCTTACAAAACTCCCCACTCTTATCCATGCAAATCCAAGTATCCTATTAGTTTTTTTTAAGGACACAGCTTAAGTCCTATTTATGCTATTAAGCTTTACCTGACTTCTCTAGCCTCCAAAAATCTTGCTTTTTTTTTTTTTCTAAAAATCTTAGTGCATTGATGGTTCTTTGTTCCTGCTATCACACTTGATTATTATCACACTTGAAAGTAATAGATTACGGACTTTACAGTTACTATAACTTGATTATCCATGTTTTTACCTAAGAATCCTGCGTTCTTTTCCTTTAGATACCATATGATACTATAATAAATAAATATTTGCTTAACAAATAGCTGAGTGTTTTGGGGTGTGCACATCTAGGTGCTAGAAATATATGTAACAAAAGCAAGGACTGCAATCATGGCTGTAATACGTTGAGCAACCTTCCTAAAGCTTATGATTAACCTAATTCCACTCTTGTTCATTTGCTTTCAGTTTTATTTGAGCTAAAATTTAATACTCTTTGCACTAACATTGCAGAAAAACTGATTGCTTATTGTTCTGGAAGTTTGGCTACGTTAATACTAACTAATGTTAACAAATTCCATAAAATCCCTAAAGCTAAACCTGCCTATGAAATACACTGGTCCCTGTTATATACCTTCTGGATTATATATTTAATGCCAAATTTCCACATAAAACCAAAGATAAATCAACAAAATAAAGGCCTTAAATTTCAGTTCTTGGATATGTCTCTGAAAGGAATGTAATGTGCTTAATAAAGTTCTGTAATTTTTTTTTTCTGATTTTCAGAGCTCTGCTTATCATAAAACCTAAAAACAGCTAATCAAAGCTAACAGGATTCAGTGGAGGTAAGTGAAGTTTTCACAGGAGTTAGGTTCAATTTTGGTCCAAAATTTTTCCAGAATAAACCATGTTACAGCTGTGTAGAGAGGTGTATGAAAGTTTAGGTATGCCATGTGGCATCATAATTCATGTTTCTTTTTGTGGGTTAAATGTCAAAGTACAACACTACTCAAATGGGAGGAATTCCAGCTGATCCACACTTATCCCAGCCCCCACACCCCCTACGATATTACCACTCTTGAAAAGACTATGTTCAAAACAATGATTCAACAATAGGAAGTTCATTTGCCATAGAATCCTTCTGTGTGGTTATCAAAAAGCTTCTCAAACTCCAGGAGTTCCATCTCTTCTATATTCAGAATATCTAACTTCTGCCCTTTGAACATGGTGCCCTTTCAGCAAACATGACAAAATAATAACCTGCACAAAAGGCAACCACTCCGGATTGTATTCCCTTTTTCCACTGACTCGTAAGTAAATTTGAACAGATTTCTTTAAATTTCCAGCCTTCAATTATTGTTGCACCAAATTCATTCATTTGTTCAACAAATATTTGTTGGGTGACTAAGTGCCAGGCAATATTCCAGAGAGTAATTCTGTTAGCTGTGCCAACAGCAAGGTGAACATCTCTATAGACATGAGTGACTCTGTTTGACAGATAGCATAGAGAGTAGAAAGAGGATACGGGAAGTAAGAACAAATTAAATCTTGCTTCAACACTTAGTGAGGCCTGTCACTAAAATCTTTGAAAGTAAATGTCTCCATCTGTAAAATAGTAATAGCTCAAAAGCATTTAATGAGTGCCTCAACGTGCAGGCCCTGCTGGGTACTAGGAATTCAGTGTGGCCCAAAGCAGATAAGGACACTGCCATGATGGGGCTGAATATTGCAAGCATGTTTATGCCCTTTGTTATTGCACCATTGAATCTTATTAGACTGTGTGGTGGTTTTAAAATGTGTCCACAGAATCTTTGGCACTTTTCCTTTCAAAAGGTGGAGCCTAATTCCCTTAAATATGAATCAGGCTGAAGCGCTTATTCTCATAAATAGAATGTGGCGGTGTGATGCTCTAAGGCATTTAAGGACAGGACAGAAAAAGGATAGTTTCTGCCTATCTTGGATTGCTTGCTCTGGGGAAAGCCAGTCACCCTCTCTTGAGGACACTCAAGTAGCCTCAAGGCCCAGTAGGGGAGAAGCTGAGGCCTCCCACCAACTCTCAGTGCCAATGCACCAGCCACGTGAGCTATCCACCTTGGAAACAGATCTTCCAGCCCTACTTGAGTTGTTGGATGACTGACGTCCTAGCCCAAATCCTGACTGCAAACTCATGAGACACACCAAGGCAAAGCCATGTGGCTAAGTCACTCTTTAATTTCTGACCCTGGCTGGGCACGGTGGCTCACGCCTGTAATCCTAGCACTTTGGGAGGCCAAGGCGGGCGGATCACAAGGTCAAGAGATCGAGACCATCCTGGCCATCATGGTGAAAACCCATCTTTACTAAAAATACAAAAATTAGCTGGGCATGGTGGCGCGTGCCTATAATCCCAGCTACTTGGGAGGCTGAGGCAGGAGAATTGCTTGAACACAGGAAGTGGAGGTTGCAGTGAGCCGAGATCACACCACTGTACTCCAGCCTGGTGACAGAGCAAGACTTTGTTTCAAAAAAAAAAAAATTCTGACCCCTAGAAAATGGAGGATGATAAATGTTTGTTTATTGTTGTTGCCACTAAATTTTGAAGGGCAAGTTGTTATAGAGCAATAGATAACTAATACAGCCTGTGATGTAAACATCTGGATGGATATAAACAATTATGGTGGAAAACTTCACAAACTTCCCTTAGTTTACCTCCTACGCTGGAAAACACAAAATTAAATAACTCTTCACAGACTTCCAATGTTTCCATTACTACAGGATAAAATCTAGACTCCTAGTCTAGTATTCAAAACCCTATATGATGAAACCCCACTCAAATTGATCTTTTTTTGTTTTCTTTTTTTTTTAGAAACAGGGTCTTACTCTCTCTTGCCCAGGCCTGGAATGCAGTGATACAATCATGGCTCACCGCAGCCTCGACCTCCCAGGTTCAAGTGATCTTCCCAACTCAGCCTCCCAAGTAGCTGGCACCACAGGCACATATCACCACATATGACTAATTTTTTATTTTTATTTTTTTTTGTAGAGATCGTGCCTCCCTCTGTTTCCCAGTCTACTCTCAAGCAAAACACTCTACTTTGTCTAGACGAATCTACCTATTTTTAGCCAGTTATGCCTGAGAAGCTCTGCCTCCAAGATCTTGATCATGCCACTTCCGCCTCTTGAAAGCCACTTCCTCTTTTTGCATATTGACCTTTTTTCTTCCAAGCTGAATTTAATCCTGCAGTAATTCTTGATTACCCTAATTCACAGCAATCTTTTCCTTTCTAAACATCCAGTAGTTTTCATTGCCAATGCTGCCTACTTAATATTTATTTTCCTATTTGCACAATTGTGACATGTCACTATTAATAAATATTTGAGTTCCCATTATGTGCAAAGTACTGTGCCAAGATCTATACTTAACATTTTTACTTTAATTACATTTAACTTTTTGTTTTTAAAAATATATTATGGCCCGTAATCTATCTTGTGTGTTTCTTCACTTTACAATTCGATTGTAAGCAACCTGAGGTCAGAACACAGTCCTGCTCTTTACAGCCCTAGGCACATCCTTATAGAATATAAATCTCCAGAAGCATCTTTTTTTACCATCTCCACATAGGGCAGCAATTTCAAAATAGTGAAAAGATCTTTTGATAGTTATGAAGCCAGAAGTGTAGTGTTATAAAGCTGGAGTGGGAAGCGCTTGTTTGCAGGGACCTGGGTTCCCTGGGCATGTAACTCATCAATGAAGTCATCTTGGAAAAACACCAATTCAGGAAATTGTGAACACATCCTTCCTTAGACACTGCTCCAACAGGACTCTCTGAGAGGAGGTTTGCTCCTCTTCTCAGCTGTCCTAAAAATGTGTCTTCAATATAAGACATGAAGAATGGTGTGAGACTTCTGATATCCTGAGGATCACAGTGAAAGACTGAATGCTGAAAAGAAGGATAGGATGCTGGCAGCCACTGAAAGCCTGCAAGCTAACTCAGGTGAAAGCAAGTTCTTCTCTGTGATTATTCAAAGAATTAAATCCATTCTCTGGTTTGTTTTCACAGTGATGAGCAAGTCAAAAATGCACACTGATCTAAAATTATTTTTAAGTTGAAAAGAAAGGAAAAAGTAGCTCACAAACTTGAAGTAGCATAAGAATCACCTGGCGAGTTCTTCAAAATTTAAACTCTCTGGTCCTCAACACCATCCCACTCACCACCACCTCCAACTCCACCTCCACCTCCAGATGCCAAATCAGAAAGCCTAGGGTAATACTCTGCCATCTCTATTTCAGCAGATGTACTTAGATCATTTTGATTGAGGTAGAGTAGCTGGGTACATATGTTTGTCAATCTCCAAAATAGAGAAAAGACAAAAGAAAAATATTGGTAATAGCATGTGATTTCTGTATTATTTTCTCCTTAGTTTGCTCCATTTTCACTTCCCAAATTTCTCCTAAACTGTGTAAATCTTATTTTGGACAGTATGAAATTAGAGGGTTATGGCTAACCTTGCATTGAAAGCCTTCATAGTATAAAGAGTAATTCTCTATTTTTAAAAGAAATATGGATTTTAAAAATCTGAAAATAAAATGGAGGATTGAAGAATGGGGTGTTTAAAAAGCCTAAGGAAATAGCTAGCTCTGATAGAGAAGTACACAGATTTCTTTTAGCCTCAGTTACTATTTCTCTTGGGCAATCAAGAGATCATGAAAAAGAAGACTGAAGTGGAAGTCTTAACACCAGAATTCCCAATCCAGTCACCAGCCCCTACTCATTAAAAGCATCTTCCACACAGCTGCAGGAACACCTTCTAAACTATTGTCTAGTCCCAATGGTCCTGTTGTATTTGTTTGTACACATGTGTGTGCGTGTGTGCCTATGTGTGTGTATTTGCAAGTATTTGGTATATACATAGAAAAAAGTCCTAGCAAATGTACACTGAAATGTTAACAATGGTTCTCTTTAGAGGGTGAGATTATGCAGGACTTCCATTTTTTACAATATACCATTCATATCTCATTATTTAATTTTTAATAATGAGCATGTATATCTAGAGTCAGAAAAATCTCTAAACATTTGAAAATAAAACTAGTTTAAAAAATCCAATGGCTTCTTATCACCTTTAAAATAAAATCTAGGCCTGATGCGATGGCTCACACCTGTAATCCGCCCCAACACTTTGGGAGGCTGAGGTGGGTGGATCACTTGAGGTCAGGAGTTTGAGAACAGCCTGGCCAACATGGTGAAACCCTGTCTCCACTAAAAGTACAAAAATTAGCTGGGCATGATAGTGTGCACCTGTAGTCCCAGCTCCTTGGGAGGCTGAGACAGGAGAATTGCTTGAACCTGGGAGGCAGAAGTTGTAGTGAGCCGAGATCACATCACTGTGCTCCAGTCTGGGCAACAGTGCAAGACTGTCTTAAAAAATAGAAACAAAGTCTAATACTTTTGGTTTGGACCAAACAGCCTTATCTCTCAGTACTCAACAAGCATCTTCCTCTTTCAGGCAAAAGAGATTCCAAATTCCTGGCACATCTAACTCTTTCACATTCTGTGTCCTCACTCACATAAGCTGCTTTCTGGAAGAAATGGAATGACACTGGTTATCTAACTGACAAACTCCTACTCATTCTTCAAGACTCATGCTAAGTCTTAGCACTGAACTCCACATTGGAGCTAAGAAAAAAGAAAAGTTGGTAACCCTGATCCTGTTTTTACTTTAAATATTGATATTTTGTTCATCATAAGGTTTTGTATTAATTTTGATTTTGTAAAATACTCTCTTGAACTATCATTGATCTTGATCACTGAGTTTTTTCAAACCCTCTAATTTTGTACTGCACTTGCCTTGGTCCCAGGCAAAGTTGCTGACTCCAACTTCTTTGCTTCTGTCTTGGACCTACCTCCACTGTGGAATTTTTCACATTGCAATAGTTTCTGATATACTTATTGCTCTCCTATAGGCTTGATTGCTGTGAGGGCTCATAGCTTTCTTAATTAGTGCTTAATAGATGCAACAGGCGCCCTTTAAATATGTGATGATGGCAAGAATAAATGTGAAACTTTAATAATGTCTCTTAAAATTTCTTATTTTTGTTGTCATTTTTGAGATGGAGTTTCACTCTTGTTGCCCAGGCTAGAGTGCAATGGTATGATCTCAGCTCACTGCAACCTCTGCCTCCTGGGTTCAAGCAGTTCTCCTGCCTCAGCCTACCAAGTAGCTGGTATTACAGGTGCCCACCCCCAGGCCCAGCTAATTTTTTGTATTTTTAGTAGAGTTGGGGTTTCACCATGTTGGCCAGGCTGGTCTCGAACTCCTGACCTCAGGTGATCCACCCAGCTCAGCCTCCCAAACTGCTGGGATTATAGGCATGAGTCATGGCACCTGGCCCTATAAAGTATCTTAAAATTTCTGAGCCTCAGTTTCCTCATCTGACAAATGATGACAAGATGCTAGATTATCTTCATGATACTCAAGGATAGGTGCTATACTCTAAACATATATAGTATCATAAATAATACAGTATAGAAAATAATGTCCAACACTTTTATAGCTCTTACCATATAGCAGGCACTAATCTAAGTATACCAAGGTTTTGTTTAGCTTAGTTTTGTTTCGTTTTTGCTATTTACTTTTCAGATCCAGGTAAATCTGACATTAGCCAGGCATGTTGGCTAATGTAACTTGTAGTACCTGTAACCCCAGCTACTCAGGAGGCTGAGGCAGAAGAATCACTTGAACCCGGCTGGCAGAGGTTGCAGTGAGCCGAAATCGCGCCACTGCACTCCAGCCTGGGTGACAGAGAGAGACTCCATCTCAAAAAAATATATATGTTATAAAGATATTATAAATATTCAACCATTCATCTTTACTTATCGGATAGACTTGGGCATTAGTGCTCCCTATCTGACAGGAGGCCCTGTCTGACAAAAGGCCCTCTGCTCTTATGAAGGAAAGAGAAAAGGAGTAAAAACCAAGAGACATTTGTACGGCCAATTTCACTGAGACAATCACCTTTGGGAAGCTTGCCAGGTAGATCACACAATGTGGGGATGATACAGGATGGAGAGAAAATACCCTTCCTTACTCTTAATTTTTCTACTTGTTAAAATTAAGTTTTATTGTACTTCAGATATTTCCTATTCTCTGATGCAATTCTGTATACTGAGCCTAAGAGGGTATTAGTTGAGAAATCTTGTCATCATGTTAGCTGGAATTAGGGCGTGGCCATCCACATTGCATGAGAATCAGGCCAGGATCTGGGGGAGATGGACCACTGGCAGCAGGAGCTGTAGTCATCCCTGTGAGTGAGTGAGTGCAGCCGTGTCCACATCTGCCTCCCCTCTGCGTGCTTCAGGCAGCTCTGCACGGGACACTGGAGGAAACAGGGTCCCAATCAAATCCCAATCTCAGTTTCTATGGCTTCCACAGAATTTATCTCCAGGTTGGTATTTGAAGGGTCAGTAATGTTTCCCAAAAAGTCACTGACTACTATCTGCTGATGGAGGAAGTACAAGATGGGTCTTTGGCCGTGAAATTCAAAAGCTGTTCCAAAATTTTCTAAAAGTTCTTAAGCAAGAAGCAGGCGGTTAATTCTCCTACACAAAAATCTCTCCTACATATTTGGAACTCTTTCATATTTGTGATGGAAATTCCCAGGTGGATCTAGCTGGGAAGGAGTGATGGAGCTTTACATTCATTTTCTTTCCCCCCATATGGGCATTATAGACATTATTTTGATCCCATAGTCAGATTTACCTGTATCTGAAAAGTAAATAGCAAACCAAAACAAACTAGCTCCTTGTCCCTTACCCATCTCAGACTCACATCGAGTTTTTCTTACTATCACTGGGTGAATTTTGTAATCCAGTCCCCCATATCCATCTTCCAAATTGTATCAGATTCTGACCTGTTGCATTGCGACTTTGTTCCCTGTTAGGAATCATGCAGTACCTTGTGAGTACGGTGGTATTATGTGATTTCTGCTATAAATGTACTATCCATCCAATGAGTGAGTCAAGATTGAAGCATCAAACACTCAAAGACCTTTATAAGCCAATACTTCAACAAGAGAGATATAAAGGAAAATTGATTGGGGTTTGAGTGATCAGACAAGGCTAAATGGGAACGCCTTGGATGTGAGCTTGGCTTTTAACTGGCATTCAGGGGGAGATATAAGGACATGCCTCAACGTGGGAGTGAGAATGAGAGATGTGGAGGACATTCAGACACTTCCTCCTTAAGCACAGGCATTCTACTGCAGAACAGCATGAACACAAAGTTGGAAGAATCCTGAATTTGAAGGTCTTGAAAGTCAGACAATGAGAAGGTTGGGCTCAAACAGTATTTTGGAAGATTATTTGATGATGAAACATGGAAAGAGTTGGAGGTAGGTGCACACACACACACGCACACACACACACACACACACACACGCACACGCACTTTTACACAGTCACAAAGCTAAGGAAGCAATCCAAGCATGAGACAATAGGATCTTGAACCAAGGGGTGGCAGGAAGGATGGAAGGGCAAAGTAACTCTGGGACACATTGCACAGATGGATTCTGACTTGCATGCCAGCGGTTATGGGAGGTAAAGGAAGGGAGTAGTCAAGGATGATTCAGATGTTTCCAACCTGAAAGACTAACTAGTGTTGCTGGTACTCATGAGAATGCAGAAACTGGATTGGGCAATCCACAGCAAAAGACAAATGATGATGAATCCTGAGCTTCTCAGAACAACAACAACAAAAAACCTATGGAGATTTTGAGCTAATCAAGATAGCAAACAAAATTATTTCCTGTGGGTCCCTCAGTTTTCATCATTAGATCATGGGTGTGCTGGAGAGCAGGGTGCAGCCTGGAATCCTACACTCGTGCCCTTGTCCTCACTTCCCTGAAAACATACCACAGGAAAAGTCAGCAGCAAGAGCGACGCCAGAACACACCTCACTCCTCTGACTTTCACAGCCCTCATCAGTGAGACGCCCCGCAGGCTCTTTCAACATGAAGGCTGTACAATAGCTCCTCTTACCAATTCAGGCACTGGAGTCATGATAAC